TTCACCGAATCACCGCCATGGCAATTTTGTAGCAGATGGTGATTATCATTTAACATGGTCAAGTCCAAAGACAGATATGCTAGTTGATTATCTGGCTTATTATCAGCACTGGGAGCCATCTTATACACGACAAAGAATGCTTCCTATGTTATCCACCATATTTCTAAGAGACGTGGCCTCAAATTCAAAAGATCAATTGTTATGCGGACAGTATGAATTTGATTCCATTCAGCGGGTAAAGACAAGATTTGGACATCAACTTTACGTAATCAATTGGAAGAAAACGACACGTGAAATGAGCAATGAAATCTGCATCCCCTCTGAAAACCCTGATATGGAGCAGGAGCTGAGGATAGCTGATGACGGGTCGAAAGATTTGCTCGATGAGCCTGAGGTTCTACAGATTCATATCAAGGACGGATGCAGCTTTTTATCAACTGAAGAAGATATGGAGCTTGTACAGAGTGCTTTTCCAGAAAAGGTTTCCCAGTTCTTGAGAGATAAGGTGAAGAATAATGTACTTTTTTCTCTACCCTACTTTGATCCCCCGCCCTATTCCGTTCTGCAATGGTGTTTGTTTTATTTACCAAATGGTCATTTATGATATCCCAGGAGCTAAAAGAAACAAAATCAAGTAGAAAAAGATCAGTGAAGCCTGAAAATTCAGAATCACCGAGAGGCGTTCAACCCAGCATCACCAACTTCTACCGATCATCCAAAGTCCAGGCAACGCCTGGGGAGAATGAATCTCGAAGTTCCAAGATTAGTGCGGATACTTCTGGAGAGAGAGATAAAGAACCCATCCGAAACTACTCCAAGTCTGCTAGACGCAAGCTTTTGTTCGGTTAGCCATGAGGCACGATCCAATACCTTTGTGTCCTGTAAATTGGTTTGTCACAGTTATGTGTATATTGATCTTTTAGTTTGGTTTCTCTCCCATTTGGTAAATGCAAGCTCATTTGTAAATGAGGTAAATAAATATAGATGAGGTTTTTTTTTTGTGGGGGGGACAGTTGTCACAATGAGGTAAATGCAAAGCTCACTTGTGAATGAGGTAAATGTGTATGTGAGTTTTTGCAGCAATGGGGCGTTGTAGTGATTCATTTGTCATGGTAATAACATGTCTCCTCTGCTTACTTGTGTAACTTGGGGACTAGTATACATAAAGTGGCAGTATCCAACACCATTATCATCCACCCCTTTAACGGTTAACCATTCATATTTTTCAATCCCCAGTTTGCCGCCATAAAAAATATATAAGCGTTATCTCTTCCTTATTTTTTTTGGTCTTTGTTAAAGTAAAGCTAATAATATCCTTATAAATTTGTTTGAGGGATGCAAGAGTATCATACTTCATACATAATAATATGTAAAATTACTTGAACGAGGAACCAAATAGGAAAAAGAAAAAGAAAAAGTGGGATCCCCGACCAAAATAAAAAACAAATCATGAAACAAGCAGCGAATACTCGTATATTTTTCATATATTTGATGAACTTCTAAACACTCTCAATACCCTATTTAAAAAGGGATCTACGCAATTTCAATTTCACCTTTTAGAAATTTGCACAAATAGGATACTTCGGTGCCACTCTGGATTTTTTGACTCGTTAGGCAAAACTTCAAGTTTAACAAGTGTTGCACCTTACTTGACCAATGAGCAACACTTCTGACTTAAAGTTTCGTCCATACGGCAAGCGGGGGTCACAAATTTACCTTCTGTTTTCAAGGTCATAGGTTGTAATTTTTTGAATTTTTTATTCATCCTTGTTTCCTTATAAACTTTCATAAAGTTTATTTTCCAAACTTCCTTCTCTTTTTTCTCTCTTTCCTACTTTACTTTTTTCCCTTCTTTTTTTTTTTTTTTTTTT